AATAACGTAGCTTAGTCTGACATAAGTGTAGCGGACTGCTACACTGGTAAAGCCTGACCGACTCAGAAATCTCTATGACGGATTCTCCAACATCTAGCTAGACTCCCAGAACCAGCTAAGCTATAGCCCAGCTATAAAGGAAACAGACGTGTAGCACGGAGCACGTTTATTCAGTGGGTATATGACGGATAAAGTGTACACGCAGGGAGCTACTCATGATCAGGATGGGTCGCTGCACACAGAGTTGTACGGCCGCACCTCCCAATCCTGGCGAGCAGACATGCGGGCATACGATGACGCACAGAGCGATAACGTGTCCCACATAAGTTCGTACCAAATCAAACTGACACAAATTGTTAGTAAAATCATAAATTCATTCACACTAATTTATTTAAGTGCATTCATCTCGATTAAATACATACCTCTGGAAGATTCTAGATTTAATATAAATTTAATTACTGTGGATAGGTAGGTTTCTAGGTGGAATTAGAGCTCAACAAATCAATAAGTTTACAAATTTACGAAACTCAAGAATATAGGCTTTTTTGGAAAATATTAATGAGGTGCCACGATATTGAGATGCTTCAGCTTATTAACAGTCGATTTTGCAAATCAAAATGTTTGAGTGCTTTCCTTAGCGAGTGCTCTTTCTGTTGTTGTGCGGATAAATTCACGTATTCCTACCTGCAACATGTTCATAAAAGCATCATAAATTATTCATGAGACATTATTTGATCATTAAAATGCTCCTAAAACCCATTTAAAGTGATTGAAATGCAAAATATACACGTGCTATTTCACCCATTACAACCAGTCCTCTAATAGGCAGTATATACAGGAAATACCGTGGGATCAATTTTTCCCTTCAATTGTGCAAATCTGGTTTTATCCTGCAGTCTCCAAATCGAAATCCACCTAGACAGAATGTTCGAGAGAGCATATGATTATCTGGTTGAAACGTGCTCAAACTGCCGACATCAAACAAATTGTGAACAGACCACAAGTAAATTTTGGCTTGTGTTGAGCTCGACTTCAACAATCAGTATAAGACAAGGCATGTTACATTAATAGAATTAATCTTCATAAAGCGTATTATCTAAAGCAAAGTGAAAATAAAAAGGAGAAATCATGCTGCAATATATTGAACCGAATCATATTGTGGGACACTTCATCAATGATCAAATAGAAATCCCGCTTTAGAATACTACTCAGAAATATTTAGCTATTAAAGTTCGAACGAATTATGCTAGAGTTATCTGATAACTAATCGCTCTGCCAAAAATTACACTTCGCTATCAATATACGTACTGAATAAACGTATTCCGTGCTACACGTTCTTTTCCCTTAGAGCTGGGCTATAGTTTAGCTGGTTCTGGGAGTCAAACCAGATGTTGGAGAATCTGCCATAGAGATTTCTGAGTCGGTCAGGGTTTACTAGCATAGCAATCCGCTACATGTTCGAGAGTTTACTAGCATAGCAATCCGCTACAACATCCTCTCCCATGCAAAACACAAGTTTCATGTAACTTCTGGATGCCAAATTCGTTTAATAAAATACAATTTGTTTCGCAATTCATTTTCGCGCTCCTTATGACGCTACTTAAATTGTGTTCCATTTTCTTCAAAAACTACCACATATCATATTTGAGTACCAGAAAATTTATGTCAAGCACGTCCCAACTGTAGGGTATTAGATACAATTTTATTGGCTATGAAAGGTATGTGTGCTATTTCATTGCTTTAAATACTTACCAAAGTCTGCCACTTTTGCATTCTCATCGCAACCTACCACAGCTTTTTGCAATAATTGCATTATCGATGAAATTCACAACTGAGATCCGAAATTTCGATAAAGACTTCCTACCTAACTTTGCAAATAGGTTCAATCTATTGCGACAAGAAATGAGCTTAATTGATTTGAATATACAAGTGAGTACATATTTTTGTTGAAGGGACAACTTTTCTCATTCCAGACCAAAGGCGGCACTTCTATCCCTGCCCACAAACTTGTCCTTTGTGCACAATTCCCAGGAATAAAAAACAGTATCTTACAGAGCAAACATTCAAACCTCTCAAATTGGAGTCGTTTTCCATATGAGTAGGTCATTTATCCTGATTCCATTACCAACTCGTTAGTATTGTTAAAGCGGCCGTCGATTTCGCCTACACAGGTGAAATAATCATAAATGTTGAGAACGTATTGGGGATATATCTGATGGCCCACAATCTTGGCTGCAAAGAGCTGATTGACTGGACAACGGAGTTCATCAAGACAAGGTTCGTTTATTGCAACCAAAATAAACAAAATCCGTGTGCGTGTGTGAGAGTGTTAGTTTTAGGGAAGTGAGGTTCAAAAGAAAACCAAAAGATGAGTAATAGAATAGGAGTTTGTGGTAAAGGATGAAAAAACGTACCACTCATTACTCATGCGCAAGCGGCCACTGTCTTTTCGAATGTCCGAGGTTTTTCAAAATAATCAGTTATATGTGGAGTTTTAGTGAATCGGTTTCCCGAACGTTAGAGCAAGCACTAATGGTAAGGATGGATTGTAGGATTAGAGTTTATTGCAAGAGATGTAAGAACATACAATCACTAAACTGAAGTCTAACGTTTCTGTTACTTCTGAACATGCACATGACGTATTTGCCTTGTAGACTTGATCGACTTAATTTGGAGGAGGTTTGGTCGGCAGCAAATGTCACTTCAAACGCTAATCTCATTGAGGTGTGCATACCAAGGATAGCAGGTGATTTTGAGAGATTAGCCTCCAGCCAGCCCTTCCTTCAACACGTAGGTGCCGACCAACTTCAAACCTTACTGCATAGTCCCTGGATATGCGATGGAAAAGAAACATTGAAATTCAAGGCAATCTGTACCTGGTTGCATGCATCCTCCTTAAATGACGAACACGTTAAAATCGAAAAGCATTTCCGTCCTCTTCTCAAGTTGATCGACATGAAGAAATTGCCAACAGAGGTTATAATTGAAACGTCAGTTAGTGGATCGGATTACAACTTGTCGGAAAGTGCAAGGTAAAATGTCATTCCCATTATCGAAAATTTGGTTCTTTAGGTCAACGTTTATGGACACATTTAGGAATTTGAATAAAATGAAAAAGGAAAGGTACTCTCATTTTTTCTGTAGCACTTGATTTGAAATTCATAATGCATTGTTTTGTCGTCGCAGCTCGAAATCGATGATCTGTTTTCATGGGCGTAAAGACATTTCAAGTAGTGGAGTTTTGGAGGCGGTTCCTGAACTAAGTGGAGGACGAAAAGTTTCTTTCCCATTCGAATTTCGAAACTGCGCCTGCACAGTTGCTTTGGATGGTTGGATCTAGCTTTGATTGCTTACTCTCAATTACTCTTTTTTACTCCTTGTAGGTAGTGTTTATATTCTGGGTGGTAAAGACAAGTCTGGTGTGACTACATCAAAAGTGGATAGAATCAATCCGCAGAATGGTGAAGTGACCTCACTCCAACCAATGATCGAAAGTAGAGAGCAATATTCTGCAGTGGCTCGAGATCATGCAGTTCTTGTTTTTGGAGGTTATATTAATCAAAGTGACAAATACTTAGACTCTTGTGAGGAATTCTCACCTGTAACCAACACGTAAGCATTTTATATGCGGCTAACACGCATTTTAAAACATTTTGCCTGGTGTGATGTTCGGACCTACTTTGATTGCAACTACAGACATCTGAAACATTCTGAGTTTGTCCGATTTTGACCGGATAATGACTTACACTCACTTGATTGCTCTTGGCAATGCACTAATATCTGATGAGACTTTTCACTCATCTTTTGTTATATCTTGAGAGTTCTGAAAGTACTCACTCATTGGTACATCGTCATTAGTCGTAAGACATTAATGACAGTTGGACATAGCTCAGGTATAGCTAAAAGGAATGCTTTTAATCTATTTATTATACAGTGGCTTTTGATGCAAATTTCCTCTTATAACTGATTCAAATATAGAATCGCCAGTCGTTTGTTCATTCAGATTGACAAGATTTTAGAAGTTACGTCCATCAACATGTACATATACAGGTGATTAACGTGTTCTGATATCACGTTCATATGCATTTCGAGATATTTGTAAATGCATTTTCTGCATTTATGTGAGTTTGTCTGCTTTTGGTTGGAAAATGACTTGCGTTCATTCCACTGCTATTGGTTATGCAATATGATGTGGCTTATCACTCTTGGAGAGTTCTGAAAAAATATTGTATAATTTATACATCGTCATAAATAGTTGGATATTTGTATCCAAAGAACACTACTTGGCAACCGTTGATTCAATCACTTATTAAAGTATTCATGTTGTATTGCCTTTGTTACAAAATTTCTTCTCATATCTGTGAATTGAAGATCTTTCAACTGCCGAAAAAGCAGAGGCTGGCATGTGAAAATAAGGAAGATGTTGGTAGTATTGTGCCCCAGCATGTGTGCATGTGGATATTAGACCTCGCCTGATTTCAACCTCCAACTTGTAGGTCGTAGGTCACGAATCAGCAAGTATCACTTGAGAATTTAGTATTTTCAAAATTTAGACGGAGGAAACTGCCCCCAATGCCAACGCCTAGGTGTGCCACAGCAGCAACACATATACCCGGTGTTGGTGACATTGTTGTTGGTGGGTGTGGTAAAATTAATGATAAATATCCGACTTACAATAAAGCGGAAATCTTTTTGACAACTTCATCGCCTCTTGGGCTCGCAGGCAGTTGGTGTGAAATCGCTCCAATGCTTCATTCGAGGTCTTATCCTGCAGCAGAATTTTTCAATGGAAATGTATACGTCGCTAGTGGTTCTATGGAGATGTTGTCTTTTTCTACTGAAGGACCTCCCCAGTGGACCGAAGTGATTAATACCACTTTAAAACTAAAATCGTTGATCTCTTTTAATGGGAGTCTTTTGTTTGGTGGTGAGTCATGTTCACTTTTATTCAATATTTTCTTGTGTTAGAAATTGCGATGTGTCCACAACAGGGTTATCTTCTCTCAGTATGAGATCATAAATACAATTTTTTGAAATTCTGACATGCGTTTAGAAATGCTTTGACAACTGGAATAAAAACAGTGCCGTTTGCATATGATTTCTACCTTAGTAACTCAATGCAACTTATAATTCTTAATTTAAATATCGTGTGTCAAACTTGATTTCACATACATTACAAAGCAGAAATCAATTTTTCCCAAGGAGTCAATTCAAATGGCATCGAATTTTCTAACTCAAAATTTATCTGTGTCTACACTGTAAGACAAATTAATGTTTATCTTTATACTGCTGTGGTTTTGATTGAAGGCTCTCCACACTCCTGGTACTTTTCGCTTTGACAACTCTTGATGAATAGGAAGAAAGATTGGTAGAATTAATACCAGGGAAGGTCCACTCGCATCCCTCACCGTCCTTGTTGGGTGACTTCAAACATCTAGACATAAGATTATTAATGTTCAAAAGTCCCAGAAATAACACTCCTTGAAAAGATCGAATTGTAGCTTAATAGACATACTCGCAGAAAGTCAAGGCTCGTTTAAACAAATGAGATTAACTTGTGTGCAGATGGAAGACAGCCTCACTCATTCACTATGTAGTCAGACATTGAGATCGATGATGATACAGACGCCACTCTTACCTACTGCAATGCATAATTTACATCGAGTTCATACCAGTATTGTTTTGAGCAAATTGTTCAATCAGATAAATTGAGTGGGCTTTCTATTTCCCTCATCTGAAATTGAATTTTATGAGAAAAGTTGTAGATAAACAGCAATCACCAGACACCACTCAATGTTAAGTAAAATGAAGTAATATTCAGATCTGATCATGATTTATCCTTATTGTAGCTAACGATGAAAGAATATATGAGTTGTTATTCAACCAAGACAACGAGGTAAGTTTTATGACATTGAAACTCTATGAAAGTACAGGTTACCAATCAATCCTTATTTATTGCTAATTCAGACCTCCTCAGGACAAAAGTATTCTTGGAAGTTCATTTCTGAATTGGAAAAAATGAGTTACCGTCGACTTCTGAAGATAACTGATCTCCCGTGATTCATTTTATCTCCTCCGATAAACAGTTTTCACTGTCTCTTTCCTCTTGCAAACGAACTGAGGTTAAAATAATGACTGTGTTAAGTTAAAAATATCTTTCTACATTGTAAATAAATTTATTTATTTATTTATTTCAAATGGCAGGCGTTTTGACAGTTATTACTAGCCCTTTAGTTGACTTCGGGCTTCACAGGGAGGATGAAGGGGGGACAGAATAATGATTCACAGATGTAACAGAGTCAGACAAAAAGGCAGAGAAAAGGTAAGATGAGTACTTTGGAAGGGATCGAATACGGCATGCAGTATTGTGAATAAATTTATTTATTTATTTATATCAAATGGCAGGCTTTATGATAGTTATCATTAGCCCTCTAGTTGACTTCGGGCTTCATAGAAGGGAGGAATATCAAAGTTAAAAAGGTCGAGAGGGAGAAACGGAAGAGGGATTCAAAGATGTAAAAGAGACAGACAGACAGACGTCAGTCAAACCTGATTGTGAATAAATTAAACAATAATAATTGAAAATTAAAACCATAATTCCACTCTTACCGATGTAAAGTTTTGTTTTGGTGATGGAGAAATTATAAAGGAAGAAAAAATATGCAAAATGAACAGTCAATTATTTATTTATTGTTTAAATTGAAAAAAATAAATAAGATTTGAAACCAGAGTGTGCAGAGAATGAAACGCGTGCTCACTCGAACATTAATTTGTGCAGAGATACCACATCACTTTACGAATAATGTTGTTCCACGCGATACGTCTGTTTTCTCTATAGCTTGACAATAACTTGGCTAGGTCTGGTGGGTTATCCAAACTTGGTGGAATCAGCCACAGACATTTATGGGTATAGTCAAGGCTACACATTTTTGGGGGAAAACCAATCTCAGAGTGCATGGAGAACGAAATATGCAAAATAAAATATCAATTATTTCTAACTTTTAAGTTTCTAATTTTAAGCAGAGTGCGTAGAGGAGCAACTACATGCGCTCTGGAACAATTTGGATGGCGTGGTATCAGAAGCTGTTGCCTACGAGGGAATTCGGGCAAAAATGATCGATTGTGCCCAAATAATTCTTATGCCTGAATCATCTTTCACCAAAAACTATTTGCTAATCAGACAGGAGTTCACCTGGAAAAAGAAATTCTTTGCTAAAGCTTCAGCTCAACTTATTGACGTGTCAATGTCTCTTGGATGCAAATCCTCCATACTTGAAATACCCGTGTCTAGAAATCTATAGGATACACCTGTAACATTACTGTCAAGTTAAATGGGGATAAGATATACCGTTTCCACAGGCACACAGGTCGGTACTCTTTTGATACCAACCAAGGTGTATATGAATCAAGTTGATGTGGAAAATTTGGCTGTGGAAATTCCCTTGACAGAGTGGAAGTCAGCAGATTTAAATGTCCGCGCAATGGTTTCATGATCAGGTACAAAAATGACGACTGTTCTCTCAGAGAATACTGGAATTCAGGTTGTTGATATGAAGGACCTAGAGGAAGTGATATTTCAGTGTGGTGATGAAGTCTATGTTGCTGGTGTTACAGCTTCTAAACCAAAATATATTGGCGATAGCTATGCCCCCATTAGAGATCATAATGTCACAGGTCCAACTTCTAATAAGAGACGAGAAGTAATCGTTATATCGGTACCGAAAAAGTTGGAATGCGTACAACTGAACCAGAAGGCCACAAACCTTCTGAAACAGAGTAGCGATCTAAGAGAAATTCACTCAACTGTGTCGTCCTCGGTTTCACAACCTCGGTTACGAATGGGAAGTGTATTGGGAACTCCTATTCGTTTCGATGGATCATTAATTTCCCAACAGCCAATGACTGCTATAATCAATCAATCTCCTACTTTCAATACGTTCAGTTCTCAAGACTTGGCTGCTGCAGAAGCATCCAGAATTACCTCCGCCCACACCGGTAATGGTGGAAGACAGTTCACATTTACAGGACTCAATAACTCACCTGCTATTTCTTCTCAATATTCACCATCTGCAAGGGCCTTTGAGCAGTTAGGTATTCGTTGCAATTGTGGACTTCATCTTGCAGCGGTGAGTGCAGTTAGTTCTCCGGTGGAAATCTCTTGCAGTTCTTGTGCTAGGAGAAATTTCGAGATTCTTAGAGAACTGGGAAAAGAATCAGTATTCACTTGTGATTGTGGACGAGAGTATGGTGGTATCAGCATGCTTCCCATCAAACTTACATGTCTCTCATGGAGACCTGTCGTTCCAGTTGTAGTAGACGCGATTTCCATTCATAGTCGAGTTTACGAATCATGCCACATTACTTGCGAGGCTGCTATCAAACCAACTATGGTCTCCAAGCGTCTGACTGCTAACATTCAACCTGATGGAATAGAGGCTGGTTGTGAGGCGAGTACTTACAAAGTGGTCTAATCAATGGATACATGACCTTCAAGACATCAACTCTCCCAACTCGCAACCAACATTATGACCCCACACTTGATGGCCATTCCTAATCTGCTCAGAAGATCGCCATCAAAGAGACATAACCACTCTGAAGACTCTCATGGAAGACCCAGAACTGCAAATACTTGTAATTCCTGTAGGAGTAGGGTGATGGTAACTGATATTATTTCGACAGATCCAGATGATTCGTGTACTTATGAAGCTAGATCTGGGAGTTTATCCAAGCATATGGGAATCTGCCACAGAGATTTCTGAGTATAATCAAGGCTAATTTCCGCCGCAACAATCCGCTATATTTTATAGAGCAAACTCCAAAACAAAGACAAACTGACAACTTTGTATGGTGTGATCGCTTTAAGAAACATTTTCTCAGCTAATCAGCCTTCAATGCTCAATCATGTTGTGCTGAATGTATTTACTTACAAAGAAGTTGCCGTGAGCAAATTTTGCAATCAACGCTTTTCTTGTCGTACGTTCTCTTGACATAGCTTAATTGGCAACTTCATCGCCTCTTGAACATGCAGGCAGTTTGTGTGAAATCGCTCCCATGCTTCATTCGAGGGCCTATCCAAAAGCAGAATTTTTCAATAGGAAAGTATACGTCGCTAGTGATTTGTCAAATTCAACTTCTTCAGTGGAGACGTAGTCTTTATTTACTGAAGGACCTTCCCAGTGGACCGAAGTGATCGACGCCTCCTTGAGACCAGATTCGATGATCCCTTTTAATGAAGGTCTTTTGTTTGGGCGTGAGCCATGTTTACTTTCTTCAGCTTCTGTTTTTGAAAAGAAGTAGAAATATCTTTTGTATTAGAAATAGCGACGCGTCTACAAATGCTGAACTTCTAACAAACCGGGAATTGATCAATTTGAAAATATGAGGTCATAAATTATATTTCAAATTACTGGAATGCGTATAGCAATGTCTTGACAACTGAAATAAAAGCAGTGCAGTTTGCATAGGATTTCTCGCTTGCTCACTTAATACAATTTAATATTCTTAATTTAAATATCGTGTGTCATTCTTGGTTTCACATACGTTACAAAGCAGAAATCAATTTTCTTTAAGGAGTCAGTTCAAGTGCCATCGAATTTTCTAAATCAAAATTGACTTAAGTCTACACTTTAAGTCTAATTAATGTTTGATTAGTTCAATTAGTTAAATTGTGTGTTTCATTATTTTTCCCCAACTAAAATGTAGGTGCAGATAATTTTTCACTGTCTCCTACATTTGCCTTCTCCATGAAAGAAGAGGTTGTCAATCAATATCTATTTATTTCTAATTTAGAACTCCTCCAGGCAAAGTATTTATGTATTTATATTTATATCAAATGGCAGGCGTTATGATAGTTATCATTCGCCCGTTAGTTGACTTTAGGCTTCACAGGGGTTAGGAGGAACATCAAAGTGAAAAAAGGCGAGAGGGGGGGGGGGAGAAGAGTGTTTCAAAGATGTAGAAGAAACAGACGCAAAGGTAGAAAAAGGTGAGGTGATTACTGTGGAAGTAGTGGAATACGACATAGAGTGGGGTGATGGTAGTTTGAAGGGAGAAGTCAACTGCCGGTTAATAGACTTTTTTGCCGTATGAGTATACGTTGCCCGGGGTGCACCACGTGGAGGTAAGTCTATCGCACACCCGCCTCCAGTCAAAGTTATTCTTGAAAATTGATTTCTGACTTAAGCAGTAAAGGATACCGTCGACGCCTGAGGATAAATGATCTCCCTTGATTCATTTTCTCACCTCTGATCAACATTTTTCACTGTCTCTTACCTTTACAAACGAACTAAAAGTTAAAATGATTGTAAAGATTAAATATATATATATATATATATTTATTTATCTTTAAATAAATTGAACAATGAAAAATGGATAATAATAATTCTATTCCTCTCTGACTGAAATAACGTATCTGTACAGATATACCACACCACAACCACAATAATGTTGTTCCACGCGATACGTCTGTTTTCTCGATAGCTTTGCAATAGCTTAGCTAGTTCTGGAATTTTATTCAAACGTAGAGAGACTCTGCCGCAGAGATTTCTGAGTATAGTTAAGGCCTATTGCTGCAGAAATTGGCTACACTTTCTTGAGGGCAAACTAATGTTGTGATGAGTGAAAGGGAAAAATGTGTGAAAGGAAATCCTAAACATTTCTATCTCATGAATTAAGAAGTTAGGATGTTGTGATCACGTTAATAAAGATCTTCTCAGCTAATTAATCATCAATACTCATTCAAGTCGTATTGAATGTACTTAATTAATAAACATGATTGCCATGAACATAATTTGCAACCAACGTTTCGCTATTTCGCACGTCCCGTTGAGATCACCTAGGTGATATCAGGAGATGCTGCATGCAAGAGAATTTTGACCATAAATTATTGTTTGTGTCAAAGAAAGCCTTTTACGTGTAGCGTTCCGCATTAAATACACTATGACACTCGTTAACAGCTCAACTAAGTAGCACTTTGAAAACCAGACGATATACAGAATCTGGAATTACAGTTTCAGTTGGTTATAATAAAGAGCAGCTTTCGTTTTACTTCGAGTATTTCATTGAATGATGAATGAGTAGACAGACGCTGGGATAGAGGTAATTCTGTACATTTCGATTTTCGTGTATATTTACATAGTATTACCATCCGTCATTATTTTCATTATGAAAATACCCTCCTTCACTATTCCTCTTAGCGTGGGATCGAGGCGAAATGTTTAACCAAAAATTTAGACAAACTCAATTTACGAGTATACTACTCTCATTAGCTTCAGTAGCATTTTCATATCAACTTAGGAGAAGAAATAGGCCTTAAGATGATCAAAAAGAGAGCAATTGTGCGTTGATTGCTTTTCGAGCAAAAGAATATCAACACGAAATCATGTAAAATTGTAGCTCAACTTCAAGTATGAACAGAATACATTCGACCAAATGTTCTTTTTAAAATAAGAAATTTCACTAGGAACTACTTGCAATGGCGTCTCACGGAATGAAATATAGTGCAATTCGAGGCATATTACCTCACAATTAACTGTCATTTTCAACTTACTCTCGTAGTTGTCACAAATTATTTCCCCTGGATATTTTCTGGGGTGGGGATTGCATTCATATCTTCAGGCAGTCCATATATATACACATTTGTAATTCCATTCCCCCAAATATTCCCTTTAGGACTTTGCAAACAGAGCGAATAGAGATGTTGCCTTCTTTAATTTTAAAGCTATCGAGACCACATTCCAGTGGTATAGAGATATCTAATATCAATAAAAATTTTCATGGGAGGTTCTTATAGATGGAGGAATATTCGAGGAAATTGCAGAGTCGGAAGGAGTAAGAAGAAAGGAAGGAAGAAGACACTTGGAGGCTACGTGGAAACTTACCACTTCTATTTCCAACTGCAATGATGTTATTGTAAAGTATAACTACCTATTCCAGCTCCACTTTGGTGCATAGAGCCACCAAGACATTCTTGCGTTGACAACCACATCTCAATATGCAGCCGCGGTTATCATTTCAACCTTCTTTTAGGTAATCAGAAATGTTCCTTTCCACGGTAATTAAGGTGCTTCAACAGCACGACATAGTATCTGCGTAAGGTACGAGGAAATATGTAAGAGAGAAAGATTCGGGAGAGCAGATCAAGAAAAACGTGGATTTGAAAGTGAAGCAATTCACCAGGTACCAGTTCATTTGCTGAAACCAGAGCATACCTCTTTTGGATGAATATTTTATCGTCAAAATTTAACGTTAACCAGGTATTGTTTCCATTCAACATTTTAGCCTTGTCTTTGAATGATGCACACACACATGACTAAAAAAAGACTTTCATTAGATTATTATTCGCATAAAAAGCATTTAGCCTAGGGCAACTACGTGAGATGTCCAAGGTGATAAGTTGCTTACTGCAAATCTTAGTAAAACTGAAACCTACTGGCAAGAGGGATAAAGTATCAAGCCAATAACCCCCCCCCCATATCTATTTTAAAGGTCAGCTCAACAATTAGCTAAGGCATTACCATTTGAGTTAGAAATAAATGATTCCTACTACTTTTATGCATTCAATAAGAGTAGACAAAATCCTGAAATGGTACGATACCGTTAACAAGAGAAGAAAATCAAACTTGTTCTCTGTTAGAATTCTCATTATAAACTCATTTCAAAATAATTAGCTGGTATTCTGGTCTAGAAAAAGCTCGATTTTTTTGCATATTTTCATAGTTTAACTATTTAAGAATATGTCTACTAGCGGATTTTCAAAAATTAAAATTATTTTCGGAGAAATAAGTATTTTGCTGAGCAGGCATCCAAATCGGTTGGGCTGCAACTAATCGAACAAAAGACTTAATGGGTTCTCCGACTACCTGAATCTATATTTCTTAGTAAGTAATTTTGTTCCATTATTTCTATATATTAGGTTGGCAACTAAGTCATTGCCGATTTCAAATAAGAAGGCAAATTCGGAATTTTTGTTTAAAAATATAACTTTATTCAATTAGATATTGGCCGTTCTTGTCGATGACCTTTTTCCATCCTTCTGGCAGAGTAAAAATTCCCCGTTCGAAAAATGTCTGGTCTTTGCTATTAAAAAACTGAATTAGGTGTGATCCGACATCATCCGCGTTGTTAAAAATTTTACCATTTAAAGAGTTTTGCATGGAACGAAACAAATGGTAATCCGAAGGTCAGGGCTATATGGTGGGTGTGACAAAACATCCCAACCCAGTTCCAATAATTTTTGCCGAGTAACCAAAGATGTGTGGGGCCTTGCGTTATCATGGTGGAAAACAACACCCTTCCGATTTGATAATGCCGGCCGCTTATCTTCAATTGCATCCTTCAGTTTTTCGAGTTCTTCAACATACACATTTGAATTTATCGTTTGGTTCTGCGGCGTGACTTCAAAATACAAAATTCCTTTGTGATCCCACCAGACTCACAGCATAATCTTTTTTTGGTGAATCTATGCTTTTGA